CTACAAGTCCAAGAGCGGAGAAGGAAGGACAGACTGTCAGGAGCTGTCAGATGCCTAAGGAGTGATAGGTAGGGTTATGAAATTGGGAATGTGAGTAGGAGAGAGGCAGGGGGCTACTAGGTAAAGAGGAGGAGGAAGTGGCTGTGAGCCTTGCCCAAGGGACAGGTTGAGAGCTGGTGATCCAGTGACCAAAGCATAGGACAGGAAACCAGTTTCCTTTATCTGCAACTCATGGACTGTGTGACGTGGACAAACTGGCCTACTTCTCTTTGTCTCAGTGATCCAGTCTGCAACTGAGTGACCTCACCACTTGCCTTCCTGTTTAAGAGCTTCCATAGGCTCCCTGTGCACAGTTTATCCTTTGACTTCTACCAGCAACAACTTCTGGCACGCTTACCACTGAAAGGTTTATGCACCTTTGCTTACAGACCACAGCTGACCACACGTTTTCTGACAGGTTCAGAACTGGAAATCAGCAAATACAAATATTGACCTTCCTAGAGCTTTCCTCCAACCAGCTGGGATGTTCAGCTGCGCTGCTCAGACTGACACACTTCTCTGCCAGCCCTGTCATGAATGCTCCTTTTTGCCTGTAACATCCAGTTGCCTGAGGCACTGGCTGGGCCTGGGCCACATCTCAGATGGCAGAAAGCTGGGAAGAAGCCAGGTGCTGTTATGAAACAGGTTGGCTGGCAACTGGGATCTTGATGGGAGGGCTCAGAAAGCGCAGCAAGGTACATTGCTTTGGGGGATTAATGCCTGTCCTGGCTGGAGCTGCTGCTCACAACCGTATTTGGACATATGACTTAATCCCAATTGCTACCCAATCTGCCAGTGAAAAACACGAAGAAGATTTAATGCATTCCACCCAGAAGGAGAGGGCTCAGACAAGAAGTTTCTAACTAGGTCACTGATGAGCAATCTTTCCCCCTCCCTCTGTGTCATTTTTATTAATCACTTGAAAAATACGTTGAGTAATGATTGCAAGCGACTTGTCAAGCCAATTAAAACCAGAGAAAGGTAGGGCTGTGAAGCTGGAGACAAATGCTGTGCTGGTTTTAAATGAGTGTCTGTAAACCCTACTGACCTGTGAGTAATTACCTCCAAAAAAATTGGCAGCTGTGTGTTTCTCAGTGTGAAGGCTTGTTTCTTCTGAATCCACAGGGCAAACAGTTCATTATGGTCCAGAGATGTATCACCAGAGCAAAATCACTTTGAATCTGTCTTGTAGCTGCCCTTAGTCTGGTTTGTCTATTAGCATATAGACTCTTCAGCAAGGGCTTGTCAAAGGGTTTCGTGCACTTTGAGCATTAAATAAAAATAATACAGAGCACTTACTAGGGAAGGTAGTTTATTTTATGTAGCTTGAACATAAGTTCCCATAGCTTTATAATCTGTCCTAACTGGAAGTTAAATTGTAAAAACTTATTATTTGATGAGGCTGAACAGTGTTGGACTTTGAGAGAGAAAGAGCTGCTAGGTAATCTTGCCATCTTCTCGGTTCAGTGTGGTGGGTTTCCCTGGATTCTCTAGGACCATTCAGCTAATTCAGCTGTGCTTGCATTGGGTTTTTTTTGTTTATATGTTACATGTCTGTGGTGGGTTGGCCTTGCCTGAATTCCAGGTGCCCACCAAGCCATTCTATCACCCCCCTCCTCAGCAGGATGGGGAAGGGAGAAAATAAGATGGAACAAAAAACCAACCCCAAACTCGTGGGCTGAGACAAAAGGCAGTTTAATAGAAGCAAAGCAAAGCTGCACACGCAGAAGCAAAAGAACAAAATATTTATTCTCTACTTCCCATCAGCAGGCGATGTTTGGCCACTTCCCGGGAAGCAGGGCTTCGTACGCATTGCGGTTCCTAGAGGACAAACGGAAATAACGAATGCTTCTCCTTCCCCCTCCGTTCTCCTTGCTTTTATTTCTGAGCAGACATCATATGGCATGGAATATCCCTTTGGTCAGTTTGGGTCAGCTGTCCTGGCTATGTCCCCTCCCAAGACCTTCCCCACCCCCAGCCTACTATGGGGGGAAATGTTGGAGAGACAGCGTTGGTGCTGTGCTAGCACTGCTCACCAGTAACCAAAACACTGGTGTGTTATCAACACCTTTCTAGCTACTAATACAAAACACAGCACTCTGAGGGCTGCTACGGGGAAAATTAACTCCATCCCAGTCAGACCCAATACAGTGTCAGATGGGTTGTATGTGCCAACAATAAATATTTATACTTTTGTATTCCTTTTACTATATATCTGTATTTTGTCTTCATGAAATATGTGCCAGCACTGTGGGTGCTATGAAACAACACTACTCTTTGGGAGACTTGCATTGTGCATTAGATCCTGCTCTTCATTATGTTTCTTCCCATCTGTTCCTGGCTCAGATCCTCTTCTCCTCAATTTTAGTCATTGCTTGTGGTTATCATTGATAGATTGAAATGAGATATTAAGGAGGGAGATACAAGTATGCCATGCTGCCTTCTCTTGCCACTGCTCTGTCAACTGGGTGGCAGTAACGAATGGCAGTTAGTTACACAAATAAGCTTTCCTGTGGGATATTTGAGAGAGGCCTTTCTCTAAAACTATTTCTCTAAAACTATTGAAACAAATCAAAAAGCACACGCTTCCCTCTTTCCTAAAAGGCGTAATGGCCTAGGTATGTGGCGGGCTAGCACACTAGCTTGCCACCTCTTCAACATTAGGCTTTTGTTTTGTATCACCTCTGGAAACTCAGATTAGGAAAGGGGGCAGGAAGCATAAATCAGAGCAGGAGTTTTGTTTTCTGTGGGTGCAAAGGACTTCAAAGTCTTGTGCACTTGCCAAGCAAGAAGTAAAACTATATTGTGATTTGCACCCATGCAGTTGCGGAGGGCTTTTCCTGCTCTCTGTCTTGTAACTCTTGCAGCTGTCACACAGTCAAACCCCCTGCTTCAAAGTCTCCTTTCTTCTCTTCCCATGCAAGTTGTTTTTTTCCTGTGGAAAGTAGCTATGTGCCTTAACCTACCTGTGTTTTCTGTCCTCCAGAGTTAACGAGCTCTATGTGGATGACCCAGACAAAGACAGCGGAGGTAAAATAGAAGTGAACCTGAACATCAGTTTGCCAAATCTGCATTGTGAATGTGAGTACCCCTTTTCACTGACCAGTTTTTCTTTATGTTTTAAGTAATACTTGAAATGGGCCCAAACTGGTACAGTAGCTCTTCTGCAACAGGGTGGATGGAGATCAAGTAGCTGCAGCCTTTGCCAGTACCCCATCAGCCTTTACAGGCCAGGACACCTGTTTTCTTGGACCCTGTGCTCACTCTGCAGCCCCATGTAGTAGCTGACCTCCCCTGCTGGCCTCTTTCTAAATCTTGTTTCCTTTCTTCATAGTGACTTTTCTGTCTCTGGGAGCAAGAAACCTCCCAAGTTTCATTTATAACTCTCAATGCACTAACAAGTTGTTGGCTTTTCACAAATCACCTGCCTTGTCCACCTGAAGTTTTTCTATTTGTGTAACTGAGATTGCAGTCAGCTGGCAGGGTGTGGGAAGCATATTTGCATCAAATAGGCAGCCTGAAAAGTTTGGTTACGAAGTGCTTTCTGAAGAGCTGGTATAACAATTAATATTTGACAAATGACGTTACTAGCACAGTTGGCATATTTGCATCAAATAGGCAGTCTGAAAAGTTTGGTTACGAAGTTCTTTCTGAAGAGCTGGTATAACAATATTTGACAAATGACGTTACTAGCACAGTTTAGTCAAATGTCAGGAAAAAAGATGTGGATTTTTTCCCAGTAAAAGCAGTGCATGCGTTTCCTATGCAACCTTCCTGTTATTTCTTTTGTTTTGATTTTTGTCTCCTTCCCTCCCACCCATGCAGTAGTTGGACTAGACATCCAAGATGAAATGGGAAGGCACGAAGTGGGTCATATTGACAACTCGATGAAGATACCTCTCAATAATGGGGATGGCTGCAGGTTTGAGGGCCATTTCAGCATCAACAAGGTGAGTAGGCACGACAGTTGGTGAGTGTGTGCTGGCTGGGGAAATGCTAGCAAGATCTGTTTGTAAAATGCTCGTGAAGATCTGTGTGTTGGTGTCTCTCCTGTAGAATGTACATTCATATCCCTAATCAGTGATAAGTTTAAGTCTCTCGGTACCACGGAACACTGTGAGCAGTGGTGGCTGCGTAGTTAAACCCACAGAAAATGTGTTAGATCAGGATTTTTCTTCGTTCTCTAAAACAGGTAATTGAGATAGCATTGCTGAACAGCAGAAGGCAGCTCTGTGTTGTGGCCAGTGCTGTCTCTTTCAGTGCAGCAGCCTGGTGTGTAGGGGATGTATGAACTCCCTACAAATGCCAAATGGCTTCTGTGTTTACTCGTCATGACTTTTGCACCTCCAAAATGTGACTCACTGCGCAGAGGTCTTTGGCAATGTCTCTATCCAAGTGCTCTTTTGTTCTGAGAGCCGCAGAATGACAGGAATGTTCCCTACTAGAGGGTGCCAGCATAACAGAAGCAGCTCCGTGCTGAGATGTTTGGAATACATGCACGTGGCCCCTGCGCATGCTTTGTGGAGATGCTCCGATTCTGTCCTAAAGAATGAAAATCCAGGCCTGGAGGAGGCTCCTCTCTGGGATGGGTGTGTTCAGAGTTGAATAATCTTGCTATGTAATGCTGGAGATGACTAGCTGGGGTGGGGGAGGCAGTGGTGGGGCCCACTGATGTCCTAAGAAGGGCACACCCTTTATTCACGCCTCCTCATGTACCACAGGCTACAAAATCCTACTTCCTTCTTTTCCTCCCAGGTCATGTTAAATCGCATCTAAAAATAACAGGCAGAACGTCTTTCTGATTCTGTGGCATGGGAAGGATTAGGGACTTAGAAAGAGGATGTTTCTTTCCTCGCCTCTAAGCCACCAAGATTACTGGCAGCTGATAGTCCACAAAACTGGGAAGGGGCTTCTTGAAAGGTGGTTCTTGTTCTGTTAATTCCCAAAGCACAGAGCTGAAATTCTTGGGGTTTTGTCTGGTAGATGTGATGTGTTCTCCTCACTAAAGCAACTCACAAGGGAGTTGGTCTATGTGGCAGTGAGGAGCTCCCTTCACTGCTTAACCTGTAAAAATCTGCTAACTGTGTTGTTTCATATAGTGGTTGGGACTGCTGTCAGAGGTAGGGGACCTGCCCCAGGACTTCTGACTCTGAAAACCTGAACCTCTCGTGTATAATCTGGAAGCCTTCAGTCCTTTGGCAGAAATTGTACAGGCTTCTGTCTGAGCTGCTGTCTGGAGCGGGACATGGCCAGGCTTTGAAACTTGACCAAGAGTTCCACTTGGGTGTTACTCTCAAACCTGGAGAGGGAGGACAAGGTAACAGTGAGATGATTGTGTGTACTTTTTACTGCAGAGTCTGCCACCCTGTTTACTGAACTTGTTTATGACACAGCTTGTGTCTGCACCTGAAAGCGTTCCCAGGAGTGCACTGCTGTTCCTCAAGTCATTTCAATTAGCTTTCCTGAAAGCACATGGAACCGGCATGTGGCCTCCCATGGCCCTGCTGGTGAGGTGTCTGCAGAGAGCACAATGGGCACCAGTATAACCATCCTCCCACTCTTGTCTTAGGCCACATCACATTGCTCCTCCGTGTTGCCAAAGGGTTTGCAAATTAAGACTGCTTAATTTCCCAACCTTTTCTCACTAGGAAAAAAATTCTTACACCTTCCGTAATGGTGTTTGAGCTTAATCTGCTGAAAGGCTTCACAGAGTAGGGCTAGTGACCTGAAAAGTGTGTGCATGCTAGAGTGATCCCATCAGAATGACACCAGTGCTCATTTTTTGTATTGGAACTGAGTCCTTAGGTGAAATATGTATTTTTCAGAACTTTGAATTTCCCTCTGTTTAAAACATTAAAACCAGAAAATCCTGTCCTTGGAAGGGCTATTGTCCTTGGAAGGGCTGGAAGCTGAAGGTCTAGCTTAGTTTGTATAGGAAGTGACAAAATATTTGGTGGGGTTTTTTCTCTTTTTGTATAAAACTTATGCACAATCTTCTCAAAAGTAAGGTTGCTCATGACTGATATAACAACAAAAGTATATCCACAGCTTTCTTGGGTTGTTCTGCAGCAGTGGGCTCATTTACAAATGCGAGATGTGGGAGTAAAACGTTAAGCAACGTTTGTTGCCTGTCAAAGACATGAATCTTATTTTAATGGGTTTGAAAGACATAGCCTTAAGTGTTAGGAATCCCTAAAGTTGGGAGTGATCCACTCATCACCTCCTAGTCAGCAGCAGTAGCAATGTGAGGCTGCCAGAGTCTTGGGCTGTGGGATGTAACCGATCTCCACTCCATATGCAGTATGGTGGTGTTGGTCAAGTGCAGGAAGGTATTTCAGAGCCTTTCTCTCACATGCCAGAGGTTGTCCACTGCTAAGTAGACACAGCCTGCCAGGCTGGATGGATCCAGGCATTTCCACTTTATATCACAGAGCCTAGCAATGCCTTGAGGGATAAAATGTGAAATCCTGTCTTCCTTGTCTGGACTAATTTTAGGTCCCTGGTAACTTTCACGTGTCAACGCACAGTGCCACTGCGCAGCCTCAGAACCCTGACATGACTCACATCATCCACAAGCTCTCATTTGGGGACAAGTTACAGGTGAGTTCTCTTCCCTGAAAATTCCCTGGCTCTAGAAGAATAAATGCAATGAGGGTGACTTTAATATTAGACACTTTGTACATGTTCCTTCCATAAAACCACTGTGGGGAGGACATAAGAAAGGACTGTCTGGGTAAGCAAACCCATCCTTTGCTTTCATGCAGTGTACGCTCAGTTCAGAAGAGTTTGCAAACAGGTTACATGCCACCACTTCAGGAAGGAGCAGTATTCAGTAATGCAGTAACGTTGCGGTTTTAATGTGAAATTGAAAGTGCTTTTGGAAAACCATGTGGCTGTCTTCCTGCAGAGAGTAGAAATGAGGGTTCATGGCTTTGCAAAATCCTATGCAGTAGTGTTTTCATTATTAATACAGCAAACAAATCTTGACTGCCTTTGCAGAGTATGCTAAGGGGAGATGAACGCTACTGTCTTTACCATGGCACCAGTCAAGTTTTTTTTTTTAATTCACTTCACTGTACTTGTATAGCAGACACCTATTAGTCAAATTTCTTCTATGAAACACAGGTTAGACTTAGAACTGCCAGTTCCCTGCTGGGAAGAAGCTGAACGTGTGCACTTGCCCAGTGGATAGAGTTTCACCAGGTGTTGCAAGTTATGTAATAATTCCTGATTTCTCAATAAGGACAGATTACAGCACTTCTCTAGCCTACTTCCAAGGAGCTAGCATCATAGGTGGGAGTTATATATGTGCACACCCAGTTTGCGACTCACCCTAAACATTGCTTACCCATAGTCACTCTGTAATCTTCTTTCCTCAGCACAGACGTCTCATTAGTCTGCTTCTTGTACACCCACTTCCAAAACTCTTTTTCATGCTAACAAGTCTAAGCGTTGCTTTGTAGTCTTCTGACTCTGCTCCCGGCTTCTTTTAGGAAATATCTTGTGTGGGAACGCTGAAATATTAGCATATAAATAAGCTTGGCTTAATGTCTGTAAAACACACTGAGATTATGAAAAATATTAGCTAAGTGCTAATAGGGACTTCTGCAGTTTGCGTGGGAAATCAGTGCTCTAAGGTAGCATTCCCATTGTTTTATCATGGAGTCTTTGAGTAATGGACCTGAAGTGTGAATCAGCATGAATGAGATGAGAAGCCTGGACAGTTGGGGGCAAAGGAGCAAGCATTTTCAGTTCTAGTGGTGAGAAACCTGTCTAGCAAACACGTAGTTGGCTCATGATTTGGACGAGTTCTGATTAGTATTTTCAAAGCTCAAAATAACTACTCATCATATCATACACAAGAATGGAGTGTGTAGGTGCTGCTGATTCTGTAGGCAAACACGAGTTCAACAGCACAAATTAAAGAAGGATATGTTTACTAAACAGATGCTACCAAGACTTAGCTAGCAGTGTTGAGAGCCAGCAAGTACGGAGAGCTTTAAATCTATCTAGATACAGCTTTGAATATTTTGGATTATCTCCACCTGCCTTGGTGTAATATATGCTCATGTCTTAAAGGGGATGAGGAGCTTCTCATTCACTGGTGTCATGTGCTGGGAGTTAGTTCTTTGTAGGTTGTTACCAGCTCAGCCGGAACGATCCACTAAGGTACACACTGTGTTCTCCAGAAAAAAACACTCTGTTTGAAATAGAGATTTGAATCTCTTCTGGCATTGAATGAGTTTCAATTCTTCAACAGTACTTCATGCACAATAGTGGAATAGTTTTTGTAGATTTTTCCTTCATGTAGATGAGACCAAAATCCACACCAAGGGAGGTGATTCTGCCTCTCTATCCACTCTCATGAGACCCCCACCTGGAGTACTGCATTCAGCTCTGAGGCCCCCAACATCAGAAGGACATGGAGCTACTGGAGCAAGTCCAGAGGAGGCCACAAGGATGACCAGAGGGCTGGAGCAGCTCTCCTGTGAGGACAGGCTGAAAGAGTTGGGGCTGTTCAGCCTGGAAAAGAGAAGGCTCCAGGGAGATCTTAGAGCAGCCTTCCAGTACCTGAAGGGGGCCTACAAGAAGCCTGGGGAGGGATTTTAATAAGGGCACGTAGTGATAGAACAAGGGGTAATGACTTTGAACTGGAAGAGGGTAGGTTTAGATTAGATATAAGGAAGAAATTCTTTGCTGTGAGGGTGATGAGACACTGGCCCAGGTTGCCCAGAGAAGCTGTAGATGCCCCCTCCCTGAAAGTGTTTAAGGCCAGGTTGGGTGAGGCTTTGAGCAACCTGGTCTAGTGGAAGGGGGGCCTGCTCCTGATCGGGAGGTTGGAACTAGATGATCTTTAAAGTCCTTTCCAACCCTAACCATTCCATGATTCATGCATGTCAGATAATCTCATAGAGAAAGAGATGAGGAATGTAGGAGATTATACATTTTTAGTCATATAATTCTCTTGACTGCTTGATCATGGTGTTGAATAATACTGGTTTTAACCTTTGTGAAAGGTCTTATTTTTCCTTGGTAGTTGCAAAGTTGGAAGTTATTTTAACCTGCTCTTGGACTCTGCCTGAGTTATATGTCTAGTTCTATGTCTTTGTGTGTGTTTCTAGAGGTTAAAGCCTAGGGTGTTAAAGACCCTGACAGGCATTTTTTTGAGGTCCATGTTGCAGGAGAATAAAGTGGTGTCACTGTTAAACCACTGACCAGGCTCCTTTGCCATTAGTCCAAGCACTAGATTTGGCCTTGGTAGTGCAGTGCAGTCCTGAGAACGTCTGGCTAAACAGGCTTGTTTAAATTCTCTGTTGCAAAGCAATTTTGTTACTGTGGCCAAAAGCTTACTGCTTGTTGAAGTCCCTCCAGGTATTTAACAAGGTACAAACAAGTATGTTCCCCCAAGGAACACACCTGTGCACTTTGTAGAGCAGAGATTAATTAGCAGTATATGGACAGCAAGTATTGTAATGGGAGTCCAGAATATTCCACGAAGAAGATAATGGTAAAACATCAGATTGGGAACTACAAATGCCATCCATGTTACAAAGACAAGAGAGGCAAATGCACCAAAGGACCTGATGGCACAGAAACAGGCAGTTGTGGAGATGTCTGGTGGCTTTGTCTATGTGGAAGCCCTGTAACTCACAGCTTTGCAAACTTGCTATGTAGAGAGATGCAGAGCAGACAACTTTACATATAAACAGAAGTGTGGATGCTGGGGAGCTAAGGACAAGAACAAATATACAGGTACCTCACAGGATAGATACAGTTGTTTGCTAAGCAACCACTCAAATATTTACTGTTAGAGTGTTTGAAGTGGACCTTAAAGTCTCTGGCCCAGATACGCTGCTGTAAGAGACTTACTTCTCAGCTGTATAAAGAATGAAACATAAGACTGTAGCCCAGTCCAGGGGCTTTTCTTTCTTCATATGCTTTTTACAATGAGTAAAGAATATCTACAGTCTGCATGTGTAGTTTGGAAATGGTTGCTGTTGTGTAAAATACTTGAAATGCCAGCAGACTGAAGGCACTGTAGAAGGTTCAGATGTTGCTTTTGCTCTGTGCTTGTTACCAGCACCTTGCCAGCTGAACGTGCTGATGATGTTGTCTCTCTAGAATTTTATTCCTCAGGAAAGAAATGGGTTCAGTTGCTGCTTCCTCCAAACCGTCATCCATTCTGTGGCATTTAGAATAGAGAAATAGCCATTAGGATAAGACCAATACAACCACGTGCTATCAGTTCTTGAGAGGGTCTGGGAAGGAAATTGCATTGCCCTGTTAGTGAGGTGAAACTCTGTCACACCCATGACCAAATACTTCTTCCAAACTCTTCTTCCCTGTTGTCTTGCTTAAGGTCAGGAACTTCTAGGTTGTGGAGTTATTTGTCCTTTCTGTATAGCTTACTGCACATCATGTGAATGATGCAACCTCTAATCTACAGCTGTTTCCCTGTCTAGAGAGTTCACAAACTGATTATTCTGTTGGCGGACATCAGACTCCAGATCATAGTATGTGGAAGTCATGGGGTGGAAATCCTGTTATTCTGGGCAAACAGATACTTACATGCCTGAGACCAGCTGCAGAAAAAGCTGAATGGATGGCACTGTTGGCATGTGGCCTTCCCATCTCCAAGAGCATAGTGTGCGTGATGTGAAAGCTGGGCCAGTGAGTTAAAACTGTACAAGCCCAACTGCTCTGACATGAGCTGTCTTTACAGGAGAACTCTTTGAGTTTTAACCTGAATATGACTCCCATTTATTTCTCTTTCAGTCTGATAAATGAATTTCACAGTTAACTATGCAAAGCTGTTAGGAAATATCTCACAATGAAATTTCACAACTGGCCTCTTCCAGCTGCAATTCCTTTAGCTTTGGAGTGGTTTTGGAGTTTCATCTTGTAAGACATTGTGAAATCAACTTCTTTACTTGGAGCCAACCTCTGTGGTGATGGTCACTGAAAGATATTTCAAGTCATCTTTTACTGGGTTGAGGCTTTGTTTTTGGAAAGGTTGAGTCAGCCTCATCTCGTTGTTACAGGCTAGGATAGGGAAGGAAAAATCAAGAGTACCAAGTCAGAGCATAGTTTCTTCATACATCTTTTTGCTTTCCAGGTCCATAACGTTCATGGAGCATTCAATGCCTTGGAGGGAGCAGACAAACTCAGCTCAAATCGTATGTATTCTTGGTGATTACAGGTCGTAGCCACTCTCTGCAGGAGAGAGAACAGGGCCATTCATGCAACACTGGTGTATCCAGAAGTCTTTAATTTGCCTCTTTAACCAAAATGATCCAGATGTTGCTGACTGACATTTCCATTTTCTCCAGTGCCATATAGAAGGCTTAGCTCAAAAGCTCCTTTACAGCCCTTCTGCAACCTGGATATTGTCTCCAGCTCTGTTACGACTGACTCAGAATTACTGTGTTTTTTGTCCATATCTTATTCCTATAGCTTCCCTTTGCTCCTGTCACCACCACCACCAGAACTTCTCATTGTTCTGTGTTGCAAGTTAGCTCTTACCTTAAGTTCTACCCTGTGTCTGGAAGGTTAGACATTTTCATTGCCCTTCTTTATGACCAGCAGCACAAAAAGAAATTTCCAGTGCATGATATAATTCAGCATAATTTTTCTCCTTCAAGTGTTCAGGCTCCCGCAGGATATCAGTCTTGTCCACTTCTTGGAACAGAATTTATATGACTGTTCCTGAAGCTAGACAATTGTGGTAGTGTTTGTTTTGTTTTTTTTTTTTTCTCTAGGTGACAAATGTCATTGTGTTACACTTGGCCAAAAGATCCTGTAGAGAAATCATTTAGAATTCTGTTTTAGAACTGTTTCAGCAGACACAAAAAATGGCACAAGCCATTTAAATAATGCAAAAAAAAAAAAATTATTAATTGTTAAACAGCTGTAGGAGAAGGAAGAAGAGAAAGAAAGAAAGATGGGTGCACAAGAAATGGGACTACACAGGCTGTGATGTCTCAGCTTTTTCTGTCAAAAGAAGCTCAGTGAGCTGTAGCTCTAACCTTAGCTAGTTCTTGATTTAACCAGGACAGCTTTTTGTGGTACTGCTAAGTCTTATAATTTGTAGCTGCAAACAGTTAGGAAGGTTAAAGTGACCCAGACTCATGTCCTTGGGTTGTGGTACTACAGAAGTCTTAGAATGGTAGGCAGATTCTGTTGGCATCCAACTGCCTCTCAGAGTTTTGTACGAAGGACATAAATGTGGAGTGTGAAATTGACACTTAGTCACAAGACATGACAAAAGGAGGAGGGAGATACCTTTTCTGACTGACTTGTTTTAGTTTATTTTGCACATTTACTTTGAAATATTGTGTGGGCTGTGAGTCCTTTCTCTCAATGTTAACGTATACTTTCCTTTCCTTTCCTGACCGCAGCTCTTGCATCTCATGATTACATCTTGAAGATAGTCCCGACGGTGTACGAAGACATGGGCGGCAAGCAGCGGTACTCGTACCAATATACTGTAGCAAATAAGGTAAAGCAGCAGGTAGTTCTCAGAGAAGCTCCTTATTGCAGCCCAGTGGATGCATGGAGGATCTTCAGTCATCATTCCTCCTCCGCTTGCTCCTCTGCTCTGCAGCTGTGTGCAGAGCACAGCCGTGTGCTGTTTGTAGGTGAGCAGTAGCCTCTGCTGGGAGAAGGAGGAACTGAAGCTCTTCAGAGTGGGCCTCCCTCTTGCTCCTGGTGTTGGCATTTACCAGGGCTTGGGATTGTGACTGCTTGTCAGAGCAGGTGGTGCTATTTCTGTAACTCCAGAGAAAGGTATTCTTATTCCTGACTTTTTCATGTGTCAGTTTAACTGCTCTAGATTTCTACAAATTGTGTGGAAGGTTATAATATGCTGCAGGAGCTCTTCTGATTTGTGTCAAAATGCATCTGAATGGAAACTACAATTCAACTGAACATACAAAACAGCAATTACACATGATTTTATTAATAAAACAGTCTCAATTGTGATGGATGCATCATACAAATAAGTTATCAGAGTTTTTGGCTTTTTAAAAATGTTGATTTTGGATGTTAAGCCACTGAACCTGCAGCAGCAGATATGTACTAACTATTTCACACTGCCTGCTTTATTATAGTGGATTATGATAGTTACTGTAATTTATAATTCTAAAATTAATGTATATTAAACACGAAGATATTTGTATTTTAATAATACAATTTCTTGAACTTAAGAAAACCCACAACTATTTACTTTTTAAGGTAAAAAAGCCTCTTTCAATTTGAAATTATTTGCCAGTCAGGTGCCAAATGAAAGTCCAGAATCTGTTTATAATATCTAATTACTTCTGTTTTGCCATAACTGAGAATCAAGCACGCACTATCGTGGACAAATTCTCAGATTAATGTTCCTGTCTAGTGACTTTTGGGCTTGCTTGTACAGTGTGTCCCGATGATTTGGATGTCTCCCTCGATTCAGATTACAATGTATTTGTTCTGCTTAATGTCACAACTGTTGTTCTGATAACACTCTTGCTACGCAAGTTCTGAAAGTAATTTGGAAAATAGACAGCAAGAGCTTTTGACACTTATGTGAGCATGGTTGCAAATTGGGGCATTCGGCCAAGACTGACTCATTAGGGCAGGATTGCTGATGGGGAAAAGGCGAGAGGAAGGAAAAAATGAGGTCAGCTCTATCAAAACTTAAGTGCAGAGGGAACAGTGCTACCTCTGCGTTTTCTTCTCATTAAAAATAAATATTCTGTTATTGGTACTTTAGTCCTTAAATCCCATACTGATCAGTGGGAAACAGAGATCAGAAGCCATTGGGATAGTCTGGCACAGATTGATTAGTATGAAGAGATGAATCGAGTCTTCAAGTGTGGACTGTCTGTCTCTTCTCCCTTTTTTCCTAGACCCTCTGTTTCCTCACTTCCCCAAATAGCCGCTGTCCCAAGATATGCAGCAGAATTTCTACAATAAGAGCCCTGAAAATATTATGACTAGGGACTTCAACCATACTCTGCTTCTTTTGTCATCCATGGAAAAAAATCTAAATAGAGGGAAATTTGGGATTTGTATGAGATTAGTGGAGGTGATAGTTGCTATTTCACTAGCTCCCTCTGAGCTCACGGAGAGTAAAATTATCTTTTTCGTATCGTGCTTATGGGTGTCCTGTTGCTTGTCCTTTCTTTGTCTTAATAAATTATTTGAGGTTGTCTTTACCTCTGTACGAAGGAGAATTAGAAGAGAAGAGGTCATCTGAGTTGGCAGGCATGTCATAGGCCTAAAGAAGGGAAGAGCAGCAGCTGGGTAAAGAGGTGGTGTGTGCCATGCCGGTGCCGATGGCTCTCATTGGATTACTGAGTCCTCAGCCTGCTTTTCTTTGATATTTCTTCAGTCTGTCAATATAAATGTCCTGATCCTTGAAAATTTACATATATTTCCACTGAGAGCACAGAAGAAATATTAGCTCAAAAATATGTGACTTCTGATACTAAGCTGGTGTTAGTATCTGTTCTACTTTGGCATTGTGTGGTATGTCTTGTTGGGGTGTTGTCCTGCGGCTGATTGATTGCAGGGTACCTGTTATTAAAGAAATGGGCTAAAGGAGATTGTCACTGGCAATCTGAAGATGTCTCTCCTGAACCAGCTTGGAATATTTTTTGAAATTCTGAGAATATTTTTCTGTATAGTTTCATTTTGGCTTTCAGCATGATTTTTAAGCACTGATTCTACATGGTTCATGCTGAGTGGGCAGAGCATTCACATTGTCGGTCCCAATGCGAAGGGCGCCTCACAGACAGGAGCTGCTGCTTGCTGTTCTGAGTGCATTGACAAGAAGGGATTTTCACATTCTCACTATTTAAATTCTATTTGTTTGGTTAATATCCCAGTATACTGTTTACATATTGACAGTACAAAAACTTTACCTGCAATCACTTAGAGACTGCTTGTGTTTAAATAGAGCAGATCTAAGCTAGAGAAATCAGTGTCAGCCTTTCCGTTTACTTAATTGACTTTGAATGAAGGTGAGAGTAAGCACCATCACTCTCTGTTCCCAGCTGTATCGTTATCAGACTGTAAAGAACTCATTTTCCTGTTTGATAAGGATGGGGAGTGGGCAGTCATACAGGAATTAACTGTTTGCTTCTTTTGGTCTGATCATTAGTATCAAACAATGGAGTAAGGGCCAGATCCACAGAGGCAGTTGTATTGCAGACACTCTATCTGGAATGAGATTGCTCACATTTTCTGCTGTTTTTCCCCCACTTTCTTTTCTAGGAGTATGTAGCCTACAGTCACACTGGCCGCATTATTCCAGCTATCTGGTTTCGTTACGATTTGAGCCCCATCACAGTGAAATACACAGAGAGGCGACAGCCTTTGTACAGATTTATCACATCGGTGAGTTACTCTAAACCTCTAATTCTCCCTTCTCCTGCCTGCCTTTCGTTTCTCTTCTGAGACTTTCTTGTCCAGAAGAGTTGAGTTTCTGCTTCAGGGCATTGTGACATGCTTGAAATTAAACAGTAAGTACATCACTGCAATTGTACTGAAGTGTAAGTGAGGTAACTGGTAAGCCCTACGTCTGACAATTTGATTTAATAGCTAGGCACAAGAAGAAAGAAAATTATCCTATCCAAGAAGTGCCAAACTCTGTCTAGGCAGGATGGGCACTATTGCAGCATGTCAGAAACTTGGAAGTAAAGCTAATGTGGTATGCAGTAAAGGATGCTGCAATAAACCGTCTCTCTGATAATGAGATCTAACTTGCAGAGAATGGAGGGTAGTTGTTTTACTCAGTGCTGCTGCTTGGCTTAGTATGGGTATGCCAGTTCCAGGCATTTACTCCTGGGTAAAAGTGGAGAAGAGCTGCATTATCAAATTCCAGAGATATTTTCCTGACGAATTATGTTTTGATCTATCCAGATAACATCCTGCAGTACTGATCTTGGCATCTGTAACAAAGTTGTACTGTCCAAATGGCTAATTAGGCAAAGAGCTATTTAAAGATCTTCCAGAACTTTAAAAAAGGGTCCTGAGGGAGTTGGCTTAAAATTTAAGCTGCAGTCTGCTGTGCCAGTGAGGCATGGTAGAATGTGAAGTGGTTGATAAATTGACTATAATGAAGACCTCGGATTTTGATTTTGAAACTGTTTGAATATTTTAATTGGAAGTAACATAAACAGTGTGGCTGTGTTGCACTTAAAGATTTTGATTTTGCAGCTTCTGATAAACACCAAGTTCCCTTCACTGAACTTTAGAAATGCATGTCATCTCTAGGATACACAAATACCAAGAGAAAGGGACTTGAAGCAAAATCTAAATATTGTGGTTTAAAACCTTCTTTTCTTAGCATGTCTATTTGGTTTCAAAATATAATCCTAAAAAAGGTCAAACATCAGCATTTTATGACTTGGCGTCTCATACTGCCTCTACTTCTTTCTCTAACAATATACTCTCATAGGTTTCTTACACATCATGTTGGGGGTGAGGGTGTAGAGGTGTTTTTATCAGGAAACAGTGTTTGGAAATGATTGATAGCTGACATTATCTGTTGCCATGTCTGTTGCTAGCATTGATTTACTGCTGATATGCCATTGTATGCATATAAATAGCATCTTTGTTGAATTTGATACCGTGCTTCAGAGTTTACATTAGGAGTCCACAGAAGATACTTTCCTCACTGCTTACCACAATGACCTTTTGGATTTGAGATGGCTCCAGTTAGAATTTTGCCCCATCCTGTCTGTAAAGTTAGCCAGGCATATACTGGCTGCTAGACTGCTGAAGAAGAGGCTTACAATTTATTTTTGTCTACTTTCTTTGGTCTTATAAATGGCTATAGTCTCAAGCAGCTCACTTGGGGCCATTCCAATTGAGTGTCCTTCCTATGGAAACGTGTGGATGGCACTGATATCTGCAGTAGCTGTTGTGCAGTGCATCAGACAGGTGTGCCAGACCCTTGTCAGACGTGGCTGACTTAGAGGCAGATCCTTGTTACAGATGCTATTTTGTGGCTATCAGTCTGGACCATCTGGCCCTGGTACGGGTGACCTGCTTTTGCTCTCATTCAGGCTAGGAACATTTTACAGTAAGGCAGCCTTGGCTGTGTATGTGCTACACTTAAAAGCTTTACAGCATTCAAGGTGACATTGAAAAGGTTGGAGGGGGGGAACAGTGCTGCAGAGGATCAAAACACCTTTTGTTCTAGGTTTCCTTGCCCTGTTTGATGACGTGATCTGTTCCGTTGTCCTTTCCACTGCTTTAGCCCCTTCCTGTATCTCCAGCATGGCCTTTTGCATCACAGTTGCTCTGGAGACCAGTTAGTGATGATCAGCACTGGGCTGAGGTCCAGACAGAGATTGCACTGGGGCATCTGGAGTCATTACTGAATGGGGCTGGCCATGGAAAACATCAGCCTTTTCTGAGCAGCAGCTGCTTAATTTAAAAAACACAAGAGGGGCTGGGGGGGTGGGGGGGGGTCACCTGCAACTCCTTTTAGTGAACATATGCTTATTAGGGCACCTGTGGGGCTTTCAGTATATTTAAATATGTCCTGGGGATAGGGGAGGGTCCTGTGGGTGTGAAAGAGACTTTAGGGGGTAAACGGTGTCAGTATTGGAGGGAAGAATACACTGTGAAGGAACAATCCCATGCAGAGAGAGCAGATGAGAATGGGGGGTTGGCTGTTCAGCAGAGAGCCAAAGTAATCTCATTCTGCTGCTGGGAAGGTGATCTGATGCTCTTTGTTAGTAATGAGTTTGCCCCCAGAAAAATTCAGTGCTGCTAAAAGCAACATTATAGTGCCATAGCAGTGTTCCCAGGTCTTCTGTGTTCCCAACAGACCCACTTTAACTCATGCCTGCTCCTTGGGTTTTTGTGGTATGAAGAATTATCCTAATTTTCTGTACCATGGGAGGTGCATCCTGTGCAGGACAAAAGGCATTGCTTTAGCATAGATTTTTCTTGACATGCCATGCTTCAAAAAATTCAGTACTAAATAAGAATTTTTATTGCTGGTGGGTTGGTGCTGCTACTACCACTGTGCTGTGAATTTGCCATGGATCCTGGAGTTAAAGCACAGACACTTGGCATAGTGTTAAGCACAGTAGGTTTTGCCTGTTAAACTGTACTGCTTAAAATCAAGGCATCTCCCCATAAAGAGAAGCCATTCGTGGCCTCATGGTTGAGGCTATGGAGCAAGGGGGAATGTTTCACTGCTGAAAATGTATGAGTTCCTGTAAGTGGCCAAACTGAAAGAAGTTTTTATCATGAGGTCAGTGTAGGGGCTGGGAGGGGAGAGCAGGCAGAAAACAAGCCAAAATTCTGCTGAAGCATTCAAAATCCAAAGAAAAAAATAGAATCTCCTGATATGAGAGGACTTGTCTGCCCTCTAGATGTGAAAGAAATTAAACTGGAAATAATGGGAAGGGGAATGGTTGCAGGGAGAATTATTTCAGCCATGGGGACCTGTTACCGACAGGTATCATAGACTCCATCCTGTGCCATTTTTAAAGCCAAAACAGTGTTATTCTACAAGATGTGCTGCAGGTCAGCCAGAAATCTCTGGGTGGGACTCTGCAGCTTACCTTACTAAGAATTACCTGGGAGTCCTACTGGTCCCCTCTATCCTTAAAAGTAAATTTGATTGTAAGACATCCCAGAGGTCCACAGCTTGCAGCCTTGCCTCCTCCTACACATCCACTCATGTTTTCCTTTAGACTTCAGCCTGCATCCCAGCCACTGTCCTATAATCATATTCTGTTCAAAACCCTTGTGTGTACCCCACATTGCATGGTCTCTTCCTGCTGTAATTATTACACCTCTAGATTTATTTTCCTTCTTCCTTTAATGGTTGGGCCTGAGTCAAATGATAACTTCATGGAGGCAAATGCAGATCATTCCCAGTATAAAACTCCATTAAATATAAATAAGTGCCTGACGCCTAACTTCCTTCAGTGCTGCTGAGGAGCAACTCTCCATACGTATTAGAACCGTGATGATAAAGGAACACAGCGGTGCAGCTTTTTTGCTGACCTAGAGACCATCCCCGGTGCTGCCTTTTTTTTGTCGCAACGGAACAAGAGGGCTGTGTGCGTGCTGGGAGGCAGGCTCCAAGCAAATGCCAGGTGTGTGTGACTCATAAACACTCAGCAGTACAGAGCTGTGCAGATGAATATATATTTTTTTTCTATTCCCCACCCCCTTACACTGCTGCACTGAAATCAGATTTTCCTGCCATATGATGCAAAATCTTAGTGTTGGATGGTTTTTCTGTTGTTTGCGGTGTAACCTCTCCTGTCAGCTGAGCTGCTCTGGACCGAAATAACCCAACTCCATTGTGGTCATTTTCCCTGAAAAGTCACCCTGCGTCATGCTCAAAGGGACAGCAAGGAGGGGGGCACAGGGGGCAGGAGCTGGACTTCTCTAAAAATACTAACTTTGCCTCAGGCTGGTGCTCTGGTTTTAGAAGCCTTTATCTGCTGGAATGCCAGCTGTCCTGCAAAAGCCAGGTTTACTGCAGCTCCTCATTTCACTGAGCCCACTAAACACATATATCTTGGTTATAAATATGCATGTAAATCAGTGCTTTATTTCTTGCTGCCTTTGCTCACCATTAATGAACTGTTTGTTCTGTTGCCACTAACTCCCCACTGAGCTGAATGCTGCTGCTATGTTACTCTTTTGTCTGTAACTTTGCCCATGGGGTGTAGTGCTGTGTAGAAGAGACGTGGCACAGTAAGTCTAAGTGTGGCACTGGTTCCCTTCTATGGCAGTTGTATTGCATTTCCCTGATACCCTGCTATACTGGCTTGCTGATTTAGGGTTCCTCTCTCTCTTTCTCTTGTCTTCTAGCTCACAGCAAAATCCCCCTTTTCCTAGGCAGGCTCTTTTCAGGAGATAAGCTCTGTATCTTGTCCCTCTCTCACTGACCTGGCGTCTCTTATTCTCAGAGCCACCTAATCCTACACAATGTAAAAGACCAAATTAAAAGGGCATCACAGTTATGAAGTAAAAAATGTGGGAGTTAGGAAATGCCAGGTCCTGTGGAATTATAACTTGACTCTTAAATGTTATTAGGTTACATTATTGTGTGTCATACTTTCCATGTGAACCCTGCCTTATGCAGTGCTCGGGCTGGGGTGGTACCCTGTGAGCAGCGTTTCTTCCCATCCTGTGGTTTTTGACTTCTGCCTTGTTACTAGCAGGTGGTTTGCATTAACCTGGTCCTGAGCACAAGTCATATGTTTCCACAAGAAGTCTGAGATGTTATTGTCATGGTATTGAACCCTTCAAATGTGTATTCCATCGCAGTTTCCCTGGGAGGCAAGTTTGCCTTTGTCCCCATTTCATAGATAAGGGAATTGAAGCAGTGTGTTGCAAAGTCCATAACTGGTGCCCCCTGATTTTGGGTGCTCCAATCCAAGGTACCTTTGGTTTGACATGTCAGAATACTTTAGCATTTTTCTAGCATTTGAGAACTGAAGTAGGCTGTTAGGCTAATCAATAGATTATTTTTTTTTCCCTAACTCTGTGCTTGAAAATTATTATGTGTTTTTACTGATGTTTAAATAATTCAACCCAAGACATCTTGCATGGAAAACTTTGGCACACAAAGAGTTAAGTTGGCAGGGCTTTTGTAAGCAGCCCTTGTAATGGAAAGTGTTAGACAGACTTAGCTGTAGGTGTCACTGGTAGCTAGGTTTCTCTGTTAGTCACTGTCCTTCACATGCTATTTAAGTGTCTTTTGCCCCTTTGCAAATGCTCTATCTTGTGAAATAGGGAAAAGACTACAAGGCTGTGGTATTTGTAATAGAAAACAGTAGTAGGAACATATGAGCAACACAGAGCTTCTAGAAGGCTTTGTTAGGGGGAGCTTAGCCCAGAAAGGAAGAGCATTCATGCTGTAGGCTTCTAGGAGCTGGGATTTATGATTGGCTTGGGCTGTGGTGAGTTCAGGATACCACTAAGTTATTCCATTGTAGGGAATGTTTTTCCTGAATGATTGTCCTGTAATTACATTCCCAGTACTGTTACCCAGTTCTTACTGTGCTTCCAGAAAATACCTGAGCAGTAGGCAATAATATCCTTCCCCTCAGTTTCAAGCTGTGTAAAAGTTTCCCTCATCACTGACAGACCTGTTTCCTCTCTCTGTACATTTCAGATATGTGCCATCATTGGAGGAACATTTACTGTAGCTGGGATCCTCGACTCCTGCATCTTCACAGCATCAGAGGCCTGGAAGAAGATCCAGCTGGGAAAAATGCAGTAGTGATGAAACTCTACCCTAGTCTTCAAGGACAGGAGCAAAGATTGAGAAATCTACCACTACCTGTTTTTGTCTTTATTTTCTATTTGATTGAATCAATAAGCTTTTCTCTAATCAGGCTGTTCAGTGAAGACGTCTTCAACAAATCAAAGAAATCTCCATGCATTTCAGAGCTCTGAGAGTGAAAAATCAATGGAATCAGGGCGTGGATTTTGATTCTCTGCCCCCAGAAAGAGAGGTTGAAATGCCGTATGTGAAATACACTGTCAGATTTAAGTAAGGATGACAGTCTGTTCTCTGGGAGGTTCCTACGGCAGTGTACAAACTAGGGAGTAGATTGCAGAGAGTTGAGCTGTCTTGTGTCACTTTCTGGAATCCTGTTGGATTTGCATGATTAGACAATCGACTTTTGTATAAGGCAAAATTATACATTAGGAAGAAATTCCACCCTTGGTGCCAAAAAGGTGATGTATCTGTTGGTGAGGAATGGAAAGTGTTAGTCCCCGTAGCAAACTTTAGAGACAGAGGGCAGAAATAACATCAAGAAATATTTTGTGCTTTTATTGAAAGCTCTTTTGTTCGGATACGACCTTTCTAATGAAATGAGCATACAAGAAGAGGAAGCCTTCTCCCAGCTACCTTTTCCTGGGTAATCTGTGATCCAGGCAGCAGAGGGCCTTTCTTTTATTCTGGATGTAAAAGTGGTTTCATTTCTTCCCAGAAACTGAATATCCAGTCTTGTGTTTACAGGTGGCATGAAGTAAAAACCAAACTGAGCAACACAGTTTTATGTGGCCTTTGCTTTGAAAGGGAATAGCTGTCTTTACAGCATTAGCTTTTATTCTTTCTTTTGTTTTTTTTTTTAAACAAAGACCACCCAACAGTCTGGATTCTGCACTTCTGCTTTATTATTATTATTTTTTGTTATTGTTGTTATTTTGAAAAGGGGTTTTATATTCTCTGTGTTCAGAAAAATGGTGCAGTTTTCTGGGTGGATGATGAGCACAGCTTACTGTCTTGCTTTGTGTGTGCATATTGAATACACCTGTCAAACACAGGAAGTCTGTCTTTTCAGGATTTAAGGTGCCTCCCTTTTCCTTTAAAATTCAGTCAGGCATTTTTTCTGAGTCCTAGACTGACACTGTTCACCCACAGGTACACCAGTAGCAGGGCAGGCATTCCCACAAGCTGGCCCCTGCTAGTAGTTGTTTCATTTTATTCCTTAAAATGGTACCTGAGCTTCCATGTCCATTCATTCAAGCCTTGTCTTCTGGAGCCTCCAATAAAAGGAGGTGTGAGGGGAAAACTACTGCCAGGTGTGGCTTGCATGTAATGGTAGACACAAGTTCACTAAAATTAGACCAATACCCACCAACGCATTTTCTGTAGCCTCCCAAATGTTCCTTGAGTAGTAACAGTCTCTGCATGCTTTGTAAATGTCTGAGCTGAGGATACACAAATTTAAAGTGTTCCAGGATGGATAAAAACCATGAAATAAAAATCTTTAACTCAATCAATGCTGTAAATTCTACCACGGGTGCAGGATTTCTCTTGAATAATATCTAGTGCCCACTGCCCTTTCCTGAAGGCAAAAGTATCCAAACATTATACTGTAATACTATGAATCTTTGAATATTCAGTGTTAATGCTAGTCAGATGCATTTCAAAAGTATTCCTAATATATGTCTGTTGAAATTGTCTCATTGCTTTGGCAGTAGGAAAGGTAGCCAGTTTTATTGACACACCAAAAAGAAGCAGCCAACATCCTCCCCCTGCCATCCTCTGTGTCTAGTGACATTTGTAATTTGGGACAAATTACAACGTTGGAATTTTTTTCCCCTGTTCTTATTATGGACTGATTGCTGTTACTTTAGGTGTAAACTAGATGGTGTAACTTCCTGTATCTGTTAATGTATGGATAGATTTTATACATTTTTTTCCATTTACAAAAATCAACTTGAAAATGAGATGCTTGTCTTCATTTTGGTTCGTGCGTCCGTGTGCCTGGTACCCACTGGGTGGTGGCGGCTGCCTGGTGGGAGCCGGGAGTTTCCATTGCATTTGCTTCTCTTGCTGGCTGAAGGATTTCCTCTAATCCACTGTGACCAGATGAAGCTTACAGCAAAAATGTCCTAGTTTTCCCTCTTGAGTTTGTTGAATCTTTGCTCACAGCTTGTGAACCCAGTGGATTACAAGGATGTAATTTTTAGTATGTTAGCAGTGCATCCTGCTCCTGAGCTGTGCAAGAGAAGGTCTTTGTAGCGTGGTGGATTGTACTGTTAGTTTTCCAAAATTACTTCCCTGGTACAGTTTCTTCAACTCAAAGAAGCGAAGCTGGTTGCAGATTCCTTGTGGCCCTTGGTGTGTTATTTCTGCCCTTCTCCCCGTCCTCTGTCTGAATTAAACGCCGCCTTCTGTGCAGTTCAGGCCAGTTCTCTAAACCAGACCAGTGAAATTGTTTGGCTTTTTTTGGAAACAACAGATGCATACTTCAGCGTGCCTGCTTTCTCTGCCAAAATGTCCACTGCAATAACCTAATAAATCACATTTTTTTTGCTAGATGTGGAAACCAAATCATACTCAAGTTCTAGCCAACCTCTGCTGAAGAAACAATCCACAGCTTAGTTCTCTAAACCAGGTCTAAGCCTTTGAGTACTGCAAGCCAACGCTACCTTCTGGGTCCACTGTAAGTTGTGGCAAGCTTGTCCTTCAGACGTGGCTGGCTTGGGTCGTGTAATGATGCTGCATCATGTGTTTACAGAAGAATCTACTCTTCATCTCTCCAAATGTGAAAGTGAGGCAGTTACTGTTGTAAGCAGTGCTGCCCCATGCATACATGTCTCATGACATTTCACTTTTATTTTCAAACATTTTTCTAGAGACAAAGTGAGCTTGGTTATGCTTTTAAACATCAATGCAAACAAAAATTATTTCAAGTCATAGTGGAAGGAGAACCATCAATGGTAGGTGTTCATCCATATTTCCAACTTTCCTCTTTCAAATTAGTATTTTGACAGAAGTATTTGTGGTTTTCCAAGAAAGACATCCCTATAGGAAGTAAAATATTTAAAACTGGCATATATTCCAGTTTAAATAAGCCCCTCTAAAGCGATGTTCCGTCATACAGTGAGAACTTGTGGCGTAGGATGCTTTGGAATGGTGAAGTTAAAATTTTTAGCTCTAGGGAAAGCTGTGCTTAGGTATATTTTAGGCAGTATGTGGACTGCTGAAGATTATTTTTTAAGAAAAAAAAAATGGAAATAGGGTAAGAAAAAATTGGAAGACCTGCATTTGTGGATGTTTGATCAGATTTATCAAATACTTGCATTCAACTACTGCTCTGTAAAAAGTGAAATCTGCAATGTAGATGGTAATGTCTGTAGTTAATTTCTGAATATTTCTCATTTAAAGTTGTTTTTTTTATTTGTGTGGTACACAAACTGTTCAGGCTGAAAATGATTGTGATGAGTATCTGCTTTAGAATAGCTGATTGAAGTTTCAGAGGAAATACGTCGATGAGGTATTTCTCAGTAGTCCTTGGAAGAAGGGAGAGAGGGGCAGGGGAGGGAGGACGTAGTCCTGTAGTATGTTATGGTGATGTTTAAAGCACAAGTCTTTGCATTTTTACAGTGGAGATTATTAAGGAGTTCTGGCATTATTCTTTTAATTTGCAACCTTATGTTAATAAAATATTAGCCTTTATAGTTCTATAATTAAAAGTAAAACTGGTGTTTTTATTGGCTTCTTTTTGCACGACAATTGCAAAATCAGTCTAAAAGGGCTTTTTTCTTTGCTTTTTAATTATTATTTCAGTGAACTAAGCGTTATCACACAATGAAATCACTGAAAGCCAGGTCACTGTGTAGAAAGTTAACACGACGCTCTTTTGTAATCGGCACTGAGTCATGTCTGGACATTCAGTGCTTGGTCTGAACAGTACCAAGTGTCCTAACCACCCTTTTTTTAACGAGAGGTGAGTGGACTGTGCTTGGAACTTGCTGGGTTTGGCTTTAGTCACTGTGCCCCTTGGTATATAAAATAACCCAGTTTTTGTTCTCCCCCTCCTTTAATTTCCTTTTAGCCTTGCTTCACTAAGTATTTAGAAATAGGTCTGAGCCAATTATTAAAGATAAAATAGTTAAAGGTTTACAACATGATTAATTTGGGCACTATATATCTGCACCATATTAAGAAACCAATTCCTTTAAGTTCTGGTCTGCTGTAGGACGTGTTCTTGAAGGAAGAGATCCTACCTGCTTCCAGTTAACCGCAAGAATTGATTAGAAGTTAGTTTTCCAGAAGTGATGGGATGATGCTGAAAGGATGTGTAAAGGATGAGTAAAGGCAGTGGGAAAAGCATTTGTCCAACCTTCAGCCTGTTGCAACTCAACAGCAACTTTCCCAGCCTGTCTTTATAAACCAAAACCCAATCAAGGGTCCGTACTGCTTCTCACTTGATTGAATGGATTGAATGGTTCATTTCTACCAACAACATATTCTGCCATGAATAATTTTCCGTGTCCTGAAAAAATACAATAGCACCAAATCTACCCTAAATACAAGCAGTTTGTGCAGGTAAGTTAGGTGATGGAGGTGGGGATGCAGGTGTCAGTGCACACAGGCACAGGAGCAGGGTCTGCGCTGAGAAACTTGGCGGAAGCCCCGGGAACCTGGTCTCCCTTTTGGCTGAGGGACAGGGGCTGTCGGAGCGGGGCTGGAGAGGGGGGAGCTGGATGCAGGTTGCTCTGTGATCATCCGCGTTCGGGGGCGGCGGGATGTGGAGAGGAGCAGCTGCTGAGACATAGCTCTGACTTTGGGCGTGGTGACGGGAGGGGGTGCGGGAACAGATGCGGGGACCCCCGGGCAGGGATGGTGCCCGGGTTGGTACCGGGGGTGGACATGATGCCCGGGTTGGTACCGGGGTGGTGATGCCGGGTTGGTACCAGGCGGGCGCC